TGATTTTTTTTTAATTTTGAAAATTCACCAAGAGCCTTTTATTTTTGAAAATTAAAATCCTTACCACTGCTGCAGGGCGACGCGCTCATCACTACCTGCACCTACGACACCCGGACGCGCCCCAACGTGACGCTGGGCGGGCACGCCATCGTGGACGAGATGTGCGTCAACTACATCCACTACTTCCCCAAGGTGGACCTCGAGGTGTGCAAGAGCTCCGTCAGCGACGCCAGCCTGCAGAGCTACTTCCGGCTGCTGAGAGAGTGAGTCCTTCTCCCTACCCCAGTTGGTTTTCCAAGGGGTACTTCACTCCCCCAAAAAGTCAGTCAACTTTCCAAAAATTCAGAAGAAAATCAGAAAAATAGTAATGAAAAATCGAGTGGAAAATTCAGAATAAAAGAAAAGAAATTCGCTAAGAAAAAATCAAGAAAATGCAGAAAAAATTTGTGTACGCTTGAATTTCTAGTGAAGTGGTACCCCTCGCACTGACGCTTCCCTCTCGGCTGCAGGCTCGACGGCCAAGACACCGGGCCCCACCTGGGCGTGGCCGACAACTACAAGACGGTGGAGTGGACGCCGGTGCGCGCGCGCGTGCTGTCCGCCCTGTACGACGAGTCGCCCCTGGCCATGCAGTGCAACCGCTCGAGCGGCGCGCGCTTCCCCGGCGAGTGGTCCGCCATGCCGCCCACCCTCGTCCGCCAGCCCCTGGACGCCCCCGAGCGGCACTGCCACGCCCGCGGCGACCTGGACGGCGAGCAACACGAGGCGGCGGCACCGCGACGAGGGGCGGCCGCCGAGGCCATGGAGGACTGGGGCCAGGCCGACGACATGGAGTGGAGCAGTGGAGGGACGCCGCCCAACAAGGGTTAGGAGGAGGAAGGGGCGAGGGGCGAGGGGCGAGCAGCGGGCGGAGCGCGATATCTGACGAGCGCTCTCAACAAGGAGTCGACGGGGGAAGGTGTCAACTGTTGATCCTATCCCAAAGAAGACGGCTTGCGGACATCATCTGCAGTAAGAGTATCAGTAACTGTCGAATGTGAACATCGTTCAATAGTTTTCCCCCCGTCAAGTCATGGTTCGGTTCTGGGAGGCCCTCTGACCCAGGCTTTCTCTCTGCACGAGCAAAGTTGTTGTATTGTTTACGAACCCACACAGACGGCCACCTCGGAAATAGTGTTGGCACTTAGATTTTAATAGAGCAAAAAGGCACAGCGTTTTAGTTAGCTTTTCTGCAGAAAAAAATGGTCCATCACCAATGAGAAAAAGAAAAAGACCAAAGTAAAAGTTCATAAAAAAGAAAATATTGAAAAGATGATTACTTTGCCTTTGCTTAGAAGACAATAATTGTATTGATTTCTTTAGCAATAACTGTGAGCAATGTTCCAGCCATAGCATTCTCTCACTTTGCACCTAATCTAATGTAGTAATTACAAGTACCTAAAGTGTTAAAGTTACAGACATACATCAATAACAAATAATAACAGCTTCTAGGTGAGTTTTTTC